GGATGACTTTAATTGCGGGGCATTTCTGAAAAAAAAGATGTAAAAAGGCATGCATAATCTTCATTTTTAAACGTATGCAAATTTTCTCGGCTGAACGGCTGGGCTCTTACAAGAATTTGGCCTCAGAATAAGAATTGTTCTGTGAAAAGGCGCTCAATTCTGTGCCTTTTTGACCAGCCAACAACTAGTGACGCAATTTTTACGGCGACGGTAGTGGACAGCTTAGACGCATTGGCATATTTTTCACTGTGGGACGTGGTCCAATTACTGGCATAAATTGTCAACGCATTAGCGATGCCAAATAGTTTAAATGGACCATATAACTGCTGAGTGCACGTTCGCTCGGCAGGCCTGAAGGCCTCCATCCTGTCTTAGACTTTACTCATGATGTATCGCCTACTTATATAATGAAAGTAGTTTTTATTTCTTGTATTTTTACAGGTTGACCGTGAGGACGTGTCGTCAAAGTCTCAGGCCCAGATTGTCTCCTTGCTGCGCGTAAAACCCGTGGGCTCGGAGGTCGAATTAGTAATTCGTCGGCCCCGCCGGCCAACCACAGAGGCTATCACAATGGTACCAGTAGACCCTCAGGGCGCCTACACTATCAACGCAGACACCTCTCCCCTCTACGAGGGTTATCGATCGATGGGAGGTGTCAGCGGACTGGGCTGCCACTGTCCGTCTCCAAACTGCACTGTCAGACTGCCGGACTACACTAGGCAGGTGCAGCAAGTTGGAAGTTGTCGGCTGGGCAGCCTGGATGATTCCCATCTCACTGACTATCCCGAGGTAAGATGTTTTCCCTTTTGTAGCAAAAATCAGAAGGAGTGCAGGCATCCCTTGTCAACTGGTCAGTTATCATCCAGCATGACTCGCACAGATGAAGAGCCGTTTAAATACTGTAGCACCCGCAAGAAAAACCGCTTTCTGCAAAGAAAAGTGGTCCTGCCTCAGTAAGAAGGGTTCTACTTTCAGCATTTCGCAAGGTTGATGCGCCACAAGGAGGAACGATTAGGTTCTTCGTCTCCTCTGTCAGTTCCGTTTGATTAATGACAGACTCCGCAGCTGCATTCATTCAACTATGATAAATGAGGCTTCATGCGGTAAAACTTGTATTTACTCCTCCGTCAGTTCTCTCGACGGCAGATTGTGTACCAGCATGTCGTTTCGGGATGACATTGGATTATGCAGCTTGCGAAATTTGTTCTCCAGTGCTCCCCCGCGTACCGCTTCCTGTTCATGGGCTCTTTTAGTCACTGTCTGTACTGAAGCAGTTTTGTTCTGCCTTCGTCCATGCACTCACAGCATCTGGTAGTCTCTTAGTCAATTGTCTGACGGTAATCGCGCAGCCTTTCGTGAAGGAGCGCTTGACTCATTCATCTTCCGTGTTGAAACACTGCGAGTCTCACTAGCTCCGTGTTCACTGGGGATTTGTATGTAACTGTTACAGGAACATGAGCGGTGATGTACTCAAAGCCTACGACTGGAAACGCACACCAGCTAAGTCATGCCTCCAGCCCGGCTGCGCCCGTCATCGCCTTCAGCACACGTGACGATCGCGCACATGTGCAGTGCAAATATTCAACAAACGTCTCCCAGGGCTGCAGCGTGGGAAACTGCGAATCAGCGTGCAGGCCAGGATCCCCGTCGCGTGCTATAGGCCAGGATTATTCCAGAAGGACCAAAGCCTTGTAAATAGACTGTAGTGGACAAGCTAAAGGACCCGTTGTCTGTGTTGTGT